AAGCGTCTCTGTTAAAAAAAAAAAAAAAAAAAAAAAAGTCAAAAAGTCAAAAATACATAATACAAGTGCTACATTACATTTTGAAAAATGCAAAACTTTATAACTTATTTTTTTTTTTTTTTCTTTTACTATTTTTCTTTTCTTTCTTTTTTTTAATTTTCTTTTCCTTTTTTTCTTTTTTTTTCCCCCTTTCATTTATATTTTTATTTATTTTACCTATAATTTTTCATTTTTTTTTCTTCCTTTTATTTCTTTATTTTTTTTTATTTTTTTTTTATCTTTTTTATTTTCCTTTATTTTTTCTTACCTTTTTCTCTTCATTCATCAATAATCACTATTTTTTTTTTTTCTCAACCTCTTTTTTTTTTCTGTTACACTTTCATATTACATTTACTATTTTTCTTCATCTTTTACTGTAAGAGTGAAAGAAAATGTAGCCCTAAGACAGGATTTTTGTACAGGCTGTACCTCTTTTTTCCAATCACACAGAAGGGAATTATTCCCTTTTTGTTTTTTCCCCTACCTAAAAATGATAATCTCTCTCTTTCCCATTGAGGGATACAGGAACTACTGTTAGGTTATACTACCACCTATAGGATGATTAAACAATGGCAAAAAAAATCTGTAGGCCAGCCCAAAATGAGCTTGCTTCCTAGCATTTATTTATTTCAGGTACTTGTATAGCACCGCCAATTTACACAGCACTTTACATATATATTGTACATTCACATCAGTCCCTAACCCTCAAGGGGTGTACAATCTAAGGTCCCTAACACGCATTCATATACAAGGGCCAATTTAGACAGGATCCAATTAACCTACCAGCATGTCTTTGGAGCGTGGGAGGAAACCGGAGTACCCCGAGGAAACCCACGCAGGCACAGGGAGAACATGCAAACTCCAAGCAGGAGGTGCCGTGGCTGGGATTGGAACCAACGACCCGAGTACTGCCAGGCGAAAGTGCTAACCACTTAGCTCCTGTGCTGCCAGCATGGCTATTTATAGTAGCAAGCAGTACCAAGAGCATGTTCTACCCTCTCCCCTTTGCTTTGGCTATGAAAACCCTAACTTCATCTACATTGGATAAAGAAAAGAATCAACCCCCCATCCTTTTTTAAATAATCATATTTTTTGTTTTATCCTGCTGTATTTACTCAGTGCAACTTATAACATCCAAGTGAAAGGAATAATACCAACATGTCAGACAAAAAAAAAAAAAAAAAAAAAACACACAGAATTGAAAAAAAAAAAAAGGATACCCCCCTCCTAAAAATGACTTGTATACTCAATCAGGTGTAACCAATCACCTTCTCAATGGCATACAACTGCAATCATCTGTGTTCATTTTTATTAGGTCAGCACGAAAAAAAAGCTTTCCTGGATCATTTCAGTTCCCGATAGTTGGTTGATTGATTCAGTTGCACTATGGTGGCAAAGCACTTTCAAAAGATCTCTGGGATTAAGTTGTGGATAGGCACAAGTCAGGAGATGGATACAAAAAATTCAAAGGCTTTATCAATGCCTAGAAGAACAGTGAAGTCTATTATTAGGAAGTGGAAGGTATTTGGTGTAACACAGATCCTCTCTAGATTAGGACATCGCTCCAAACTGGATGAAAGAGCCAGGAGGAAATTGGTCAGAGGCTACCAAGAGGCCTACAGCAACTCTGAAGCAGCATCAGGAATTTATGACAAAGTGGTCATTGTGTGCATGTGGCAACAATATCAAAAATTCTCCACAAATGTGGCTTGTATGGGAGGGTTGCAAGAAAAAAAAAAAAAAGCCACTCCTCAAGGAAGGCCACAGGCAGTCACAACTGAGCTTTGCCAAAAACGCACCTTGAAGATTCTGAGGCCACATGGAAAAAGGTGTTATGGTCAGAGGAGACCAAAATGGAATTATTTGGCCTCAACACTAAATTAAAAGTCTGGCAACAATCCAATACAGCTCACCTTTCAAATAACACCATTCCTACAAACAAGCATGGAGGTGGTAATATCCTGTTATGGGTGGGGGTGGGGGGGGGGGGGGGTGTTCTGTGCAGCAGGGAATGGAGCACTTGAAAGGGTAGGAGGACAAAATACCATCACATTTTTGAGGAAAATCTGCTGCCCTCTGCCAGAAAGTTGTCAATGAGAAGAAGGTTTAACCAAACGAGATATGAGGTTTTTGGCACACTCAGTGGAGGCTAATGACCATGGAGGTGCCAAAACAACACAAAACGAAAGGCTGTATGCAGACTTTTATTTTTTTTTATTTTTAGGGGATATGGATCACTCTTTAGAATCGCTTATGGCAGTGATAGGGATGCATGGTTCCCAATATGGTTTAGGACACACACATACATACACACACCCCCCCTATAAAAAGTTGCAGTACTTCGTTGTTCACTCACAGAGCTGGGTACTGCACTCTAGGGGGAGGCAGAGAGCACAGCACACACTCCTTCCTTTGCTTTCACTGCGCTCAGCTATTTAGCAGTCTGACAGCTCCCAGTGACAATGACAGATTCGGCCTGAGCTCCGAGCCTGCTCAGCAAGACGGACCTGGGGGACACACTCGCCCCCACCATAATTTCCACTCGCCATTGGCGAGCAGGCGAGTGGAAATTTAAAGGTCTGGTTTAGGTATTAATTGGGATAAGCTGGTCTTGCTCCAATTAGATAATGTAACTATTCCACTGCTAATGGGTACCTAGCAGATTAAATATAGTAACATCTTAAATATCTGGGGATTATTAAACATTCAAAAAAATGGAGCACTAATTAGAGTATAATTTGGCTCCAATGTTAGCCAGATTTGACTGGTTAGAAAACTGGAATGAACTGCCACTTTCACATAAACTTACACAAAATGATTTTGGTACCACAATTACTATAACCTCTAAAAAAAATTAATGCTATTTGGATTACTTGAACATGGTTCAAAAAGATACGCTTTTCAGACCTTGGTTTGGAAAGAAAAAAAAAAACACAGCTAGAATTAATCAGCCTTACATCTGACAAAAAATAGATGCGGTCTGGCACTGCTACATACCAAATTTGTATTTTATAGTGGACCAGCTACAGCATTTTGTAGGAGGGGGCATTCTTAACAAAAGGATTCTATTCAAGCCATATTAAGGTCCTGGAGTGGCCTAGCCAGTCTCCAGACTGTAATCTGATTGAAAATCTGTGAAGGGAGCTGAAAGTTCGAGTTGCCAAACATAAGCCACCAAACCTTAATGACTTGGAGAGGATCTGCCAAGAGGAGTGGGCCAAAATCCCTCCTGAGATGTGTGCAAACCTGGTGGCCAACTACAGGAAACGTCTGACCTCTGTGACTGCCAACAAGGGCTATGCAATGGTGTTACAATACACCATTTGATTTTTAGAGTGATCATTTCTTTGTGAGTGGGCAAACATTCAAAATCAGCAGGGGATCAAATGCTTATTTCCTTCACTGTATTCTCTATATCTATCCATCCAGAGATTTACAACCACTTTAGCCCCTTTCATGGTAAAATTGGCAAAAGCAAGGTGTTTGCGGGGTAGCTAGTAAGTGTGCTGGGAGATTTTTTTGTTTTGTTTGTAATGAGCTCCCAGAACTCAGCCCGATTGGCCTACTCACAGACCAAGTCTACAGAGACAGGGCAAGTACAAAAATAATTCCAGTGGTTCTGAACCTGTAAAGCTTTCCGAGTCTAACTTGCTACCAGAACAACGTGTGGAAAGTGTCTGAATGTGAAACCCAGCACCTGAACATAACTTCCAGGCTAGCCTCGCATCAAGTTCAGCATTGTGCTGGTACAACACTCCAAAAGCTAGGCAGAGGAATGGCTCATCCAGGTAGCTGCTATATGGAGAACAGCTCAAGCAGTGATGTAGCAAAGAATCTGGATTAACACAAAAATGAAAATACTGGGAAAAGTTTACACTGTTTTTTTTTTGCCAACTAGAATATGTCCTCCTAGGACACTAGCAAAGAACCGAGGCATGCTAGGAAGAGAGATTACCCTGGGCTGTCCTACAAATTTATCTTCCAGTGTCCAATAAACCTGTAAGTGGCACTTTAACCTGAAATCAATGACTTTCTGTGGAGTCAATGACCAAGGACAAGCATGCAGATCAGTAGTTGATTGTACTTGAATAGCTTTTCAGGGTCAAAGACATTGGAAACTAGGGTCAGTAAAGGCAGTTAGAAATTAATAGTTTGCCATTGCCTAAGCTCCTTTAAGCACTTGCCTACTGGCCACTTTTACCCCTTCCTGCCCTGTCCAATTGTCAGCTTTCAGCGCTGTCGCACCTTGAATGACAATTGCACGGTCATGCAGCACTGAACCCATATGAAATTTTAAAACACACACACACACACACCTTTTTTGGTGGTATTTAATCACCACTGGGAATTTTTTTTTTTTTTTTTCCAGCAAAAAATTACACAACCCACACATTTTTCTTAGTTTCTATTATTATACAGGATTTATATAGCACAAAGTTTGCACAGTGATTTACAATATAACATTTCAGTACAGAAGGAATAGGAGGGCCCTGCTCGTGGAGCTGCTTATAAAATTTTTCAAACAGGAAATTTATCTCCCTCACTGATGTGTTCATGAGGCTGCACGGATAGGTGGCACTGGTGGGCAGACTGGCAACTCTGATGGACCCCGATTTTCTTTATTAAGCAGAACTGATGAGCACTGTTGGGGCTGAACTAATAATCAGTGCCCCCTTTCACACTTGCCGGTTACTGGCAGTACCTTCCTCACACTGCGACAATGTAAGGAAAGTACTGCCGATAATGGCAAGTGTGTTTACATTGTGATCAGCGGTTGTTGGACACAGTTGATCACAGGAGCACCAGGTGTGCGCCACAGGGCACAGTTCAGGGACGTCGTATGATGCCCTCCCAACTGGACGGCCAGCCATCATTCGGCTATAGCGGGGTCAGCCAGTGGTTAAAATGCTATGCATCAGTTTTCTTTAATCTAACGTCAAAGAACATCAAAGCAATGTTACTTACCTGCAGTGTTTTGCCACACATTCATTACTACAGTACTCATTGTCCCAATCTTTGCTTTCCACAGGGGGATTCTCACATCCTGAGCGTACACACCGAAGCTGGGGAGATGGACTGTGAGGTGGAGAACCACTTACTAGCTGCACATCCATTTGTGGCGGGGAAGACTCCTGCAAAGTGAAGTGATTGCTTTAGATGAAACAAAGTAACGTACAACATACAAAGCTCTCCGTATTAGTCTCACAGCAATATTAAATTTGTAAACCGAGGTATTACTGTATTCAAGTTTAATTAGTTCTGCTGGACTTTTTGTATAGTGACAGCTAAACGTAAAAAAGAATTGCCGGCAATTAAAAAAAATAAAAAAACGGCATTGGGATCCCCCCGCCCATCCCATAACAAGCCCTTCAGGTCTGGTATGGATTTTGAGGGGCACTCCCACGCCAAAATTAAAAACACCACACATGGGGGGTCCCCCCCAAAATTCATTCCAGACCCTTATCTGAGCATGAAGCCTGGCAGGTCAAGAAAGGGGGGGCACATTTTACAAGCAAGCGCCCCCACCTGAACCATACCAGGCCACGTGCACCCTCAACATGGGGGGGGGGGGGTGGGCCTCTTCCCCACAACCCTGGCCGGTGGTTGTGGGGGTCTGCGGGCAGGGGGATTATTGGAATCTGCAAGCCCCCTTTTACAAGGGGCCTCCAGATCCAAGCCCCCTCCCTATATGAATGAGTATGGGGTACTACTCATTCAAAAAAAAAACAAAATGTAGTGTGGGGAAAAAACAAAAAAAACAAAAAAGAATGTCCCTCGCAGTAGATCAAACAACAATCACGATGCCCGCGTCACCACCTGAGACCCCTTACCCCATGGATTTTTTTTTTTTTTTTTACATTTTGGGGTGGGAGTTCCCCTTAAAATCCATACCTGACCCGAAGGGAATGGTTTGGTATGGATGGGAGGGGGGACCCCACACCATTTTTTTAAATTTATTATGGTGCCAGTTTTTAAATGTAATTACTGCTTTTTTTTTTCTTCACTATAGCTCAGAAATTCAGCTGTCACTTTCCCCCCAGCTAAAAAAAAAGTTTTTTTAGTTTATTTCCCGAATTAAGAGAAACAAATGTTTCCTTTTAATTTCTTAAAAGAAACAAAGTTTCCCTTAACTCTGGGGAAAGTGACAGCTAATTTTGTGAGCTATAGTGAAGAAAAAAAAAAAACAAAGCCGGCAATTGCATTTAAAAAAATCGGCACAGACAAACACTTCGTATTGCGAAACAAAATTGTAAAAAATTCGGAAACCGGAGGCATTATTTTCATTCGTAAACCGAGGAGTTCGTAAACCGAGGTATTACTGTACAGTCCCTTAAAATTTTTACATATATTTTTAGTACCTATGCAACCATGTATTACTAAAAAGTGTTTACCAAAAAAAAAAAAAAAAATGTACTTACCATAAAAACTTGGGAGTCCATTGAGGGCCACAGGAATTCAGAGACAATTGGGTTATACTGCCACATACAGGAAGGCTGTGATATTGCCAAAACAGAAAAAAAGCCAACCAGCCCCTGTAGAGCCCATCTTCTACTTAGCAGGCCTCAGATTTGTGACAAAGTGGTTCAAAGTACTAGAACGAAAACCAACAATGATGGAGCTGGACCCAGGTCTCTCAGTGGAAAAAGATTTTATGGCAAGTACAAAATTCTTATTTTCTTTACTGTCCATTGAGAGAGACAGTATTTCAAAAATGGTCATCAAAAAGTCCAAAACCAATACAACTGTCCAACAGTCACTGACAGACCTATAATTTAGGAACCATCAAGTCCGCCTTGCATTTTTATCAATTTTTGCAAAACACTAATTGGACAAATGTAGAGATTGTGACTGTTGACCACCCAGTACAATTAGAGAATGCTTTGCATTCTTTGAGAAAAGCCACAAGGTGTTCTCTGAATGGAGGCTGCACAGAGAGATTGACCTCCTATGGATACTATGCAGAAGGGCAGCCACTCGACAACACCCAGAAGATCACGGTCATCACCGTAATAACTCAGGCTACTACAGTGATTTCCTTTTCACAGAGGCCAATCAGGCATCACATATGCATACTTACCTTGGGCCTAAACATGTCCAAAGTATGTATAAAAAAAAACAAAAAACTTCAGTATCCATGAGTCCACGCTCTCTGACTCAGGAGGGAAGGCTGAGAAGGAATGAGACCAACAGATAAAAAAAAAAAAAAAAAAAGAGACTGCGATTGTGAGTGTTCACAATGCACCTTACAAGCTCCAAAAAAAGAGGAAGGAGGGAGAATATTCCTGACAGATGAGAATGAAATTAATGCCCCACAGGAAGTGGACTTCCTAAAGCCAGCCTTACAAGGACTGAAATTCAGCTGGTTCAGGAGGGACCAATTAACCAAAATCGACTTCTGTACAACTTCCCAGTGGGGAATTCTGCCTGCAGTCAGAATGCAGTAGCACATCAGGGAGAGTTCCCCATCCACACTGAATGCATGGATGTGGGGAACAGACTTTTTTTCCTCTCCCCCCCCCCCACTTGCTCAACCCACTGGTTGTGTCCAAAAAACAGAAAAAAGGAATCATCTATGGGCTGCTTTAGGGAGGATTTGAGAGCAGCAACCCTGCCCGACGGTGACCCCTTGAGGAGCCAATCCAAGCAAAGCATACAAGAACTAGGTCCCTCCAAAAAACAGCCCGTCAACCTTTTTAACACAGAGGAACCCTTGAAATAATTTTCTGGTCTCAGGGAACCCCTGCTACAAATTACTACATCTACAGCTAATGATACATTAGTGTGATGGCCTGTGGAAAGAATGCTCCTTACACTCGTGGTCATTGGGAAGAATTACCCCCTTACAGATAACTAAAAAGATCATTGGTGTCAGTGGGAACTTATCTGAGAGGCAAAAACTGTTCATGCTCAAGGAACCACTAGCAACCTTTGGAGGGACCCTAGGGTTCCACGGAACCCTGGTTGAGAAACCCTGTTCTAAATGGTTCAGACTGGAAGAGACAGTGGGGATACCAGAAAAATAGTAGGATAAGACACAAGGACCAAAGTGTGAAGAAGCAAAAAGGAGATTCTGGTGGACCCTGCATGGTCAGGTCCTTATTAGAGAAGATCCCCAACAACCTCTAGCAGGTCAGGAGGTCACCCGGGGTCAAAGATGAGGGGTAACCAAATACAAAACAAGGAGGGAACACTCATGAAGTAGTGTAAACCCATGCCGGGCATTGCTGCCTAAGAACTAGCTTTCCCGAGTGGGAAACAGGGTCCCAGGGTGTGGAGGCCCAGATAGACATGGATAGAGAAACACTGCTGAGTGCAGTAACACCAGGAAAAGAAAAAAAAAAAAAAAAAAAAAAGTGGAGGGCCAGCTGATGAACATGCCATGCCCAAGGGCTACATGGGGTGACTAAAGCCCCTTAATGATGAGAAGGCACACTACCCAGGAACCCATCTGTATGTGAAAACAGCCATTATGTGGGGGCGCACACCCCTTGGATATTTGCAAAATCCAAAGCACGCTGGAGAGAAGAAGGATTATGCGGGGGCTTACAGCAGTATAAAAACCATTTCTCAATTTCTGTGTCCCTTGATGGACAATAAGAAAAGCATCACACACACAATTTTTTCATTGTTTGTAAAATCCTTTTCTTTGTGTCTATTGAGGGACACATTCCGATACCATCAGGTTATATTGCCACCAACAAGAGGACTGCACACTGGCAAACAAAAATAAATAAATTGTGAGCTAGTCCCAGAAGAACCCCCTCCTCTACCCAAGCATGCCTCAGTTTGTAGAAAGTAGTAACAAAAAAAAGGCATGAACAGAAAAGCAGTGAGGGGGTGGAACTTGTCCCTTAGTAGACTCTAAAAGAAAGGACTCAACTATGGGACAAAAGGAAGTCACATACTGTCTAGACCAGCAATGGGCAAACTACGGCCCGGCGGACCTTTTAATCCGGCCCGCGGAGCGTGATAAAAAAAATATAACAGCCAGGGCAGGCAAACATTGGCTGTCAGGATGTGTGTAGGCGGGGCAGCGTGACGAACGTGAGGGGAGCTAGGCTCCTCTCACAGTCCGCCCTGAAGACCGGAACGGCGCGGGAACACGGCGAGAGGAACGTGCGGAGCAAAGGTAAGTAAATTGACACAGGAGGGACTTGGCTTACTACTTGGGGGGGAATAGTACTATGGGAGATGAAATACTATACGAGGGATGAATTAATATGGGGGATGAATTACTATGGGGGATGAATTACTATGCTTACTATGGGGGAATATTACTATAGTTACTATGGATGGCATGGTAGTGGCTGGGCCAGCCAGCAGCTAGTGGGGGGCATAAAAGTTTTGTAAAATAACTCTTTTTATGCTTTTCTACCTTAAATTAATCTAAACATTTAATGTTACAAATTTTAATTTATATTAATTCACACATACACATCATTCATCTACTCTTGGTCCAGCCCCCGGGTCCAATATATGAACCCATTGCGGCCCTCAAGTCAAAAAGTTTGCCCACCCCTGGTCTAGACGTTCAAAAGCAGTCCTACTGAGGTGGGCAGCAAAGCACCAGCTGCTAACAGGTACAGTGTGAGAACTGGAGACTGCCTGCAGGACCAAGGCCCCAATCTGAAACTGGATGACAGCAGAATCTGCCAAAATGGTGAATTGACCCAATGCTCAAGACCTAGATAGAGAAGGTTACCACCAGGGTAATATAAATGACTCCACATTGAACTAAATCCGAAGAGGGTGGCTGGAGGTGGATCAAGTTAATCAAATGGGTGAATTTTTGTTTTTTTTTCTGCACCACATTCTTAGGACAAGGAAATGATTAAAGGACTGTTGGGTCTCCCTAGTTTCAGGTATCCCAGGGCACCTTTCAGGCTGTCCATTTTTACCACCAGAACTTTTGAAAGCTCTCATTCCAAAATTAGCTCTGGGAACAAAAAAAAAAAAAAAAAAAAAAAAAAAAAAAAAAAAGTATTTTACACGTGGATCATACCCTACTTGTGAGCCACAAGGAAAATGTAGTTAGCCATATCCCCCCCCCCCCCCCCATCACCACTTTTGGTCAGACTTACTAATAAAAAGTAGGATTCTGTATTAATGAAATTCAAAATTCAGGAGCGATTCCCCTCCCCCACCTTCAAGGCAAGCAGATAACCACTAGATCAAGGTTTCTCAACCAGGGTTCCTTTAGAGGTTGCTAGGGGTTCCTTGAGGAACGAGCAATATTTGCCTCTCAGATTGTGTCAGCAGGAACCTATCGATCTTTTTAGCCATCTATAAAGGGGGTAATTCTTCTCAATGATCACAAGTGTAAGGAACATTCTTCCCGCTGACCATCACACTAATGTATCATGAGCTGTAGATACAGTAATTTTTAACAGGGGTTCCCCGAGACCAAAAAGTAATTTGAAGGGTTCCTCTGTGTTGGAAAGGTTTAGAAAGGCTGCACTAGTTCAATTGTGCTACAGTAATTTGTGTGCTACAATACAATTGAAGATTTCCTGTGTGATGCAAAAATAAACAAACTGCACCTATCTTTCCCAAGTGTTGAAGGGCACAATGAGCATGAAAACTTAACCACTTCCAGACCCGACACTTTTACCCTCTTCCTGACCAGGGCAATTTTCAGCTTTCAGCGCTATCACACTTTGAATGACAATTGTGCGGTCATGCAACACTGTACCCAAATGAATTTTTTTACCATTGTTTTGAGACAGATAAAGCTTTATTTTGGTGGTATTTATTCACCACTGGGATTTTTATTTTTTTTGCTATGTAAATGAAAATGTCCAAAACTTTTGAAAAAAAAGTGTTTTTTTATAAAATTTTGCAAATAAATAATATTTCATCATAAATCTTTGCCAAAATTTATTCCATTATCTTTTTAGTAAAAAAAAAAAAATCCAAATTAGTTTATAACCAAAAATTATAAACATTTTTATATTTTTTTTTTTTACATACTGTCACCCTAGCAGTACAGTGTCACCATGGTGACACTGTACTACTTGTGGGGGGTGATGATTTTTTTTTTTTTTTTTTTTTTACACACATTGCTTTTACACCCATATAGGATGTAAAAGCAATCATTTCTCTTTCTCTCTGTGTGCATTCTTGCACTCATTGAGAAGTACTGAGTGAGCTGTGATTGGTCACAGCTTGTCACATGGTACAAGCCTGTTGTGAATAGCCTTGTACCATGTGACCTCTGTGATCATTCACAGATTTCACACGTAGTAAGCAATGATGTCACAAGTGACATCTTGCTTACTACTTTGCATGTGATAACTGATTGGCCAATCAGTGATCACATGGTCGGGACATCGTACAGAGGTCCCGTCCGATGATCGGTGTTCCACTGTGTCCGGAGGACACAGCGGGCACCGGATCGCGGTGCTGCGCGCTTCCAGGGAGCACGCACAAGCAGGGTGCGGGGTGGCCTTTTATAAACGGCCACCCGACCCTGCACTGCCACCGTCCGGCCGTTTATATGCAACGGCCGGTCGGGAAGTGGTTAAGTAAACTCGAGTCTCTGCAAGTGAAGTCTGTGCAACTTTCCCAGCAGTTTTTATGCACGTAGGGAGTGAACAAGGCCTTCATCAGTTTTCATGCGCGTTTCAGTGAGTTTTAATGCAGGCTGACATCAGTTTTCACAGGTCTCAGTTATGTGTTCTGTTTACACCAGTGTTGATGTCACCTCAGCTCGAAGCCCCCCCCCCCATATCTCTACACATGGTGTGAATGAAGCATTATTCACGTGGTTTTGCCAACAATAAATGTGCAGGCATGTTCCACTGTTATCACCATCAAGAAGCCTGACCTAAAGCTGGCTATAGGCTAATCGATATAACAGATTCCGCTAGCACAGATGGTCAAGTCTCAAAGCTGAGGCTATTGTATATTGATAGCCAGCAGCTGTTAGAATACCCAAGCAGTGGCTGCACTTGATTAGATGTAGCCACTGTTCGGGTGACAATTTTCTGTCCAACTCTTTCCATTTTGCAATTGAAGGATGTTGGGTGGGAGAGTGCTGACAGAACCATCCACAGAGCTGAAATTCAAACAAATACTGTATGGCCAGCTTTAGAAATAACCTGCAGGCACCACTGGACTGCATGTATGTAGATGGCAAATGGCTGCAAAGAGGCATAAGAAATAAAGAGGTATACGTTTATACAAAACCATGCTTTGGTAAAATATTATATTCAGTTAGGGTTTACACATTTAGAACCCATTTAAAAATACAAGATCGCTCAAGCTGACTGGAATTTGAAGCAGTTATAACACACACCCACACACACAGTAACACTAACCTCTTGTACAACTTCTGTTAATACTTCCAAATGTTCAGGTGAGGCAGGAACTTCAGGTGAACTGGGTACACTGATGATTGGGATGGCTTGTGCTTGGACTTGTACAGTATGCGGTTGGGGTAGCAGAGGAGGTGGTATAATCTTGATCTGCAATGGGGGAGGCTGCACACTAAGCCTCACTTTCTGCATTGGCTGTAGAGGTGGAGGAGGCTGCAGAATAGTGATTGATGGTTGCTGAGCAGGTGCCATCTGTAGACGTGGTGGTTGCTGCATCTGTTGTAATGGCGGTGGCTGTAGGCGCGGAGGCATCTGCATCGTTGCCTGTAGTACGGATCGTGTGACTCGCGTCTGAGGGCTGGGCTGCAATTGGTGAAGGGGTAAGCCACGAGAAGTCACCATAGTAGCCGGAATCACTGTCACCATGCCCTGAGACACAGCGATAGATGTGGGGATCTGTCCCGCCTGGAGCATCTGTTTGGAAATTATTATTTTAGCAATGCTTGGTTGGGTAGCAACTACTTGTGGGAGTGGAGGAGTAGGTGCAGGTGGAGGTGTTAGTACTTGACTAGGTGTTTGGGCAGGAGGCGAAGAAGCACTCTGGGGTACACTGACTGCAGCTGCTACAGAGGGAGAACAAACCGGTAATTCGGGCAACATAGCTGGTGTAGCAGGAGGAGGATCCAAATCCATAGTCTCCACAACCACCTGTTTGCAAAAATATTGGGTCATTACACAACAATCAATTTGAAAACATCTTTAATGACAGATATTTAAATCAAAAGCCATTCCTTTATTTAGTGCTCTGGGTGTCACTACTCAAGAGCAGATGCAATTTTCACATGTGCTGGGAGAAACTCATGGGGTTGGTTAATATTAGAAATTAGATCCCACAACCACCAAAAAAATAATGCTCATTAAAATACATATGTCCTTTCTGCAAAAAAATCCTTTGCTCCGTGCTATCAATTTTACCTGAATACTGCATACCAAACATAGAGCAAGAAGCCAGGGATGATGTAACGCCTGTGAACATGCACAAGAATTATATCAGTAATAGCTGTTCAGTGACAGAAAAGGAGACGAGTAGGACACGGAGGAAGCAGCAGGGGAGAGGTCATTCTATCAAACTTTGCAACCAACTGTAGGCTAGTCCTGTCATCAATGAAGGAGGTCATAATAAGAGCAGTTTGTACAGAAAACTTAGCATTTGCACAGCTTTCAGCAAACGTTAACGGTTTTGTTAAAGTCCTTAAAGCATTTTTTAACTCCAAAAAGGGGATGTTAAAAAAAAAAAAAAAAAAAAAAAAAAAGCGCTTGCTGACACTTTAAAAACAAGCTTTTGGTGGGCTTTAGCAGACTTTCATCAAGCTTCAAGTAGCGCTAAAGCCTACTGAAGCCTGATAGAAGCTTAATGGAAGTGTTGACTTACAGCAAGACCTGCGTTTCAACCCCTACACTGGTGGTGAAGGGTTTTCTAAAAGCTTGAAGTTGATTTCCCCCCCCCCCAAAAAAAAATTTCAAACACAAACCTCTGTAGAAACCTGCTGTAGATATTTTATACAACATTAATTCCATATGTACAAAGCCTTAAAAAGGATAAGTTCACCTTTTAGACAAAAATAATAAAAATGCCCAATTTTTTTTCAGGGGAAAAAAAACAAAAAAGGAGTGCATTTATTATTTTTGTCTGCAGGAGCCTGGAAAGCATTGCACCAGTGATCAGTAGATCACTGATGCCATGCAGGTTTCCTGCATGGCCTGTCAGAATATCTGCTTGCTGTACAGGATGTACAAGCAAGCAGATATTCTGACAGGAAGCTTCTATGAACTACCACGGCGCTCCACAGTGCTGTGGTAGTTCACTGAAGACTACAAGCCCACAGCCACTAAAGGCTGTCAGGACTTGAAGTTCATTCATTCACAGAAGTCCATGAATCAATGACGCGGCCGTGTGGGCAGAGCCCCGCATGGCCACACAGTTTTCAAATTTTCAAATACAGATAGTACGGGGAGGGGCGGTGGAAGGCGGCTTCTGGGGCTATGGGAACATGTTCCACCCTAAACACGGTGGAACATGTAACATGTTCCCAAAGGCGAACTTATCCTTTAAATACACTTTACAGTGCACAGACATGAAGCAGTTTACAGTAAAATTTTCACATCAATGCTCCTAAAGAAACACATACTGTCATGAATCTACACAGTGATAACAAGTGTGGCCGCTGACAAACAAAGTTTGATATACCCAAACCTAAAAGCTTACAATATCGTGAAATGATATGGAAATGCATACATATGGAGATGATCTGGGTCTGAGAAATATGCAGTGTCTGCTGTACCTGTTACAGTTTATGGTTTGTAAGTGTGCATTTGATTAAGGTGGTGTTTTTGTTACACTACAAGGATCTGGTGGAAGATCTTTTTTATTTTGAATATGGACTTTGATTTAAGAGAGACATCACATTTTGCACATTGAGCACTAATTTTTTGTATATTTTTGTTATATTTATTGGCGCTGCATCATATCATATCATAAAAAAGCTAGGGAACACTGACCTCTCAAAAGGAATTCAAGTGCTAAAATGCGGTCATCATAATTTTGGTATCCAACCCACAAGGACACATGTGAAAAGAAAGCCCATTTTAAGCTCAGAGGCAGCTTTACCTGTGACATTTGGTTTTCCTTGTACAGTGCCAAAGCCTTTAGATATTCCTTTTTAGCTGCCTCAGTTTTTCTTTTATAAACCTAGGGAAAAAAAAAAAAAAAAAAAAAAAAATCAGTGACAGACAACTTTTGTCAATTGCTATTGTAACATCTTAGCATGTTATTGCTTCATCTTTTGTACAATTTTATAAAATACCCAAACAGTACATGTCTGATACCCAATTACAAATACCCGTGAGTTAAATCAATTAGATTAAAAAAACAAAATCAGTGAACTGTGAAAAGATAGCAAAGAACCAAAATAGTAAAAATCTTTTCAAAAAGGTTACCTGCTTCTGCTCTTCTCCTAGGCTGTCCCACATAGAGGCCACAATTTTAGACACCTCCCCAAATGTTGCATTAGGGTTTTGTCCCTTAATGGCAGCCTGCGTGTCACGAAAAAATAGAGCATATGCAGAAAGAGGTTTTTGAGGCTCGTTAGGATCTTTCTTCTTTCTTTTCTTAGAAGCTTTCTGTTTCTTTGTTTGTTCCACAACAACATTCTTAGGAGCAGTTATCTGTGAAGTACAACAGCAGATGTAGCATTGTCAAAAACAGCTTTCATGATTTTAACTGAGTGATTGGGAAATGATACTAACCCTTCTAAAATCTTCCATGTCCTCATCATGCAAAGAGCTTGTGGGTGAGGGAGTAGGTGACAGGTGATCTTCAGGAGACTGAACTGGAGGCAAAATAGTACCACCACCAAGGCTCAAACCAAGTTGGGTGCTCAGCTCTGATTGGTCAATCGTTGTTAGCTGACTGTGAGCCAGAAGACCAGTTGATATGTCGGTCATTGAAACATCTATGGTAACTGGTGGGTTGGCACTGTACGTGGTGACAATGGGATGATCCAAATCCTGCACACAAACAAAAGCAATCAAACATTGTATTTTTGTTTTAAGTAGGGATGCACAGATACTGTGGTAAGTCTGAGTACTGATACTTTCGATCAAGTACTCCCTGACACCAATTACTGATACTCTGTGGTGTGATTCACATTAAACGCAAATTGCACCTCAGAGAATAGCATGCGTTTTGAGCAGGAACGAGATTCCTCTCCAAATCGCATGCAGTTTCTCTACTGCTTCTGTATGAGCCCAGGCTTGTCATAGCTCGAGTTCACACAGGAGTGGTGCGGGAAACCTCCCTGCAGGCATTCCATGTTGAGTCTCAGTGGCAAGATGAAAAAGCGGCAGGGATTTAAAATCCCTGGCGCTTTCTTTCCTCTCCTTGTAGCGATGACAGTTCGGGCCAGAGGACTTTTGATTGGTCAGCAGCATCATCACATGGACGATGCTGACCAATCAGATGCCATCTAGCCCGAACTGTCATCGCTGCAAAAAGAACGTGGTGGGGATTTCAAATCCCTGTCGCTTTCTCTCTTCTCTTACCACTGGAGACTCAGCATGAGATGCCTGCAGGGAAGGTTTCCCACACCGATCCTGTGTGAACTTGGGCTATGACAAGCCTGGGTTCACACAACTGTGGGGAAACCGCATGCGATTTGGACAGGAATCGCATGCTAATCTTTACGGTGCAATTTACATTCAGTAATATAAATCGCACTGCAAAAGTATCAGTTAAGGTATTAGGAGTATTTTCATGAGTACTCATGAAAATACTTGGTATCGATGCATCCCTAGTTTTAAGTGTAATAAATATTACTGTGCTGCAGGATTTAATGTTTACCATGGTTAATCCGGTTCCAAGCAGTCCACCAGTTTGTTCTATTACTTCATGGGACATTTCCACTGGCATGTCCAAAGTCTGAACTCCATACTGTGCTGCAAATGCTCCTTCTTGAACAGCTGTAGGATCCCCAAGATCATCAAAGTGTCCAACTACATCAGTGACTGCCAGGGATGGGTCAGAATCTAAGGATATGGGAGGTATCTCAAACTCCTCATCTCCTAGGCTTGGTGTATGAAATGTCTGTACAGAAAGATAATGGAAAAAATAGGGACATGCTTCAGTATTAAAACAGGCTGGCACTTAACTGCCAACCATATTAGAAGTGCTGTATCCCCAGTTCTACTCTGACAGTAGGTAAAAAAAAAAAAAAAAAAAAAAAAAAAAAAGGGAAGGAGAAAATGCATTACTAAAGCATTAACGTTTTGTAAAAGATTGAGGGATTCTAATACTTCACTTCCAAGCATGCATGAATTCGAATTGGAAGAGGTATAGAAATGCATTCAGAAGCCTTAGCGGCTTACATATCAGTCCACCTAAGGAGGGGAAAGACCTGGCATTATGCTCTAGCTTCAGAATGTCATTAATAAATTATTGAATTATATGCCAGATTGGATAGAGAAAGATCAAGTAAGTTTCATCCCTGTGAAGGAAGCAAGAGAATGTATTGAGGACAAATTCTTTTAATACAAAAGAACGAAGGTAAAAAGCCAGCCCTTTTGTCAATAAATGCCAAAAAGGCGTTTGACAGGGTGGATTGGAATTATATGCTTTCAACAACACAGCATCTAGGTTAGGGAATGCGTCAGGGAAGCCCACTCTCCCCTTTGCACTATCCCTGGAACCCCTACTAGCGACGATTCAGGCAAATCAGGAGATACAGAGTATAGAAGTGAAGAGAGACATCAAGTAACTGCATTTGCATGAATATTTTGCTTTATGTATCCAAAACAAAACATTGCCTATTATTATGCAGGAATTAAAAAGATATGGGGAGATCTTTAATATTTTAGATTTTTTAAATATTGACCTTATAATTTTAATATATCTCTGTTACCCCAAGGGGAGTCCAGGGTCTTTAGACCTTTGTGCCCATTTATGAAACAGAACGGTTTGAAATACTGGAGTACAAATCTATAGATGGGAGCTAGAATTACATCAACCTATCTCAGAAGATCTAAAGCGTAAAGCCATAGACTTACTTATGTACCTCAGTAGATATGAAGATAAAAAACAAATTATAAACTATTGGCTAGGTGGTATTATGTTCCATCAAAAATTACATAAGATAAAACTCTGGGTCTGCATCGGAATGTTGGACAGAATGTGGGGGTGAGGCCCATGAATTTTGGCACAGTCCAATATTTCAGACATATTGGAAAAGGGTTTTAAAATGTAATGAAGATGATTAGTAAATTCTGAAATCGTACAAGACCCTTTGCAATGTCTTTTCTTTCTACTAGTGATTTAGGGGGGAAAAAAATTACAATTTATACCATTTCTGTTGAATGCAGTGAAAGTAGTAATCCCAAAATATTGAAAATAAAAAAAAAAAATTACCAATTATGATAGAATGGTTTAGACAAATACACTGCTCAAAAAAATTTAAAAGGAACGCTTTTTAATCAGAATATAGCATCAAGTCAATTAAACTCCTGGTGATGGAACCAGTCAGCCAGATACCACCGTAAGAAAGCTAAGAAAGATAAACGTCCAGACATAAGAAGTAATTTGTGGACAGATACCAACGAAGTGCCTTCACTGATAGTGACTGGCAGCAGAGCCATGAGGAAGTAGCTGATCACATGACTTAGAGAGGTCACATGACCAGAGTGCAGTGGGAGGAGATCGCAGAGTGTTCCTGGAACCTGAGCTTTGTTACGGTGGTATTTAAAGGGGCCTCTGGCTGATTGGTTCCATCACCACCTGAGAGCTCCAGCAGCACCACCACCTGTAAGCAGAGGAAGGATCTTCCCTGTCCAGGACCACATCCAACTCCTAGAGGTGACCTTTACTGCGTTATTGCGTATTACCATTACGCATCTGGTGAGTGCGTACTCTTACCATATTATTTTGGAGCACCGACACTGGATCTTGACAATAGCTTCACCTAGACCTGCACGGACTGTCACTTTTTGGATCATTTATATATTTATTATTGACAGATTATTATTAGCGCTGCACTTTGATGTATTTGATTGATGAAGGTTTTTATTGGTTACCTTTGGTGCCATAGCTTCTATCTTTTAGGGCGCTCACTTTTACATTCCATTTTTATACTGTATTTAATAATCCTCTGAATATACCTGTCTGGTGACGGTGTGGGTTACAGACAATTCTTGCTCACATCTGTTCTTGCTAACATTGTGAAGGGCTGATAGTCCCAAAGCTATCTGGTGGTAGTTTGGAGTTTGAAGGGTTAATTTCATAATTAACCTAAGCCAGTGACAATTGCTCTCAGGCTGCTGGCAGCTAGATTGTGGTCCCGCGAGCTGGAAAATCTCTGTGCAGGCTGCAGCTGAGAGTGGCATTGTTACACACGTGACAGCGCGGTGTGAAATTGGCTGGTTCTTTGTCACAAGTTGGTGAGAAGGGTAGGGGGTCGGGCACAGTGTGTCACAGAGGTCACTGACTTTTTCCCAACTCATCTTTTCTGACTGTTTTTCACAAGGTTTGCATTTGGATAGGGTCAGTGTCACTACTGGTTGCATGAGGCGATACCTGGACCCTACAGGGGTTGCACAGGCAATCCAACTCCTCCAGGATGGCACATCAATACATGTCATTGCCACAAGGTTCTCAAGAGCATGGAGGAGATTCCAGGAGACAGGCAGTTACTCTAGGAAAGCTGGACAGGGCCATAGAAGGTCCTTAACCCATCAGCAGGACCGGTATCTGCTCCTTTGGGCAAGGAGGAACAGGATGAGCACTGCCAGAGCCCTACAAAATAATCTCCAGCAGGCCACTGGTGTGAATGTCTGACCAAACACATCAGAAAGAGGACTTCATGAGGGTGGCCTGAGGGTCCAACGGCCTCTAGTGAGCCCTGTGGTCACTGCCCGGCCCCCATAGAGCTTGATTGGCATTTGCCATTGTACAACCAGAATTGGCAGGTCCACCACTAGCGCCCTAAGCTTTTCACAGACGAGAGCAGGTTCACCCTGAGCACGTGACAGACAGGGTCTGGAGAAGCCATGGAGAACGTTATGCTGCCTGTAACATCGTTCAGCACGACCGTTTTGGTGGTGGGTCAATGATGGTCTGGGGAGCCATATCCATGGAGGGATGCACATATCTCTAGAGGCTAAACAATGGCAACCTGATTGCCATTAGGTATTGGGATGAAATCCTTGGACCCACTGTCAGACCCTACGCTAGTGCAGTGGGTCCTGGATTTCTCCTGGAGCATGAAAATGCCCAGCCTCGTGGTGAGTATGCAGGCAGTTCCTGGAGGATGAAGGAATTGATACCATGGAATGGCCCCCACGTTTACCTGATCTAAATCCAATAGAACAAATCTGGGATATCATGTTTCGTTCCATCTGACACCGCCAGGTTGCACCTCAGACTGTCCAGGAGCTCAGTGATGCACTGGTCCAGATCTGGGAGGAAATACCCCAGGACACCATCCATTATCTCATTAGGAGCATGCCCTGACTTTGTCAGGCATGCATACAAGCATGTGGGGGCCATACAAACTACTGAGGACCATTCTGAGTTGCTGCAATGCAAAATGGACTAGACTGCGGCATCATTTTTTCACTTTGATTTTTGGGGCGTCTTTGAATTCAGTCCTCTGTAGGTTGATAATTTTCAATTTCCATCAAACGATGGGGCATCCTTATGTTCCTAACACATTACCCAGTCCATATCAGTATAGACATCCAGCATATTTTTCCCCATTGAGATCAGATAGGTTTTCAAAGTGTTCATTTAAATTTTTTTGAGCAGTGTAGACAGAACTAGATTTAATGGATGAGCTGATGTATTTAAAACCGTATTTGGTCTATGTAAGATACAAAAAGAAATGAAAATGCTCTAGAAGAGAGGCAGGAGGGAAAGGCAGAATAATCCCCATAACACGAACAGGTAGAGGATAAGAAAAGGATGATGGTCAACCGTGTTTTTAGAGGGAAGGTTAAAAAGATAAAAAACAGAATATGACGACTGAGGAAGGTAATTTATTCTTCTTCTCGATGGCGAGTGTCTGATCATTGGAAATGTGCAGGATGAGTTCCAGCACAACTAGAAAACTGACCATGCAGTTCTCTCATGCCTAGTGTGGTCAGTGTTTAATAGGAAAGCAAAGGGACTGGCAGGAACACCAGGGATTTCACACAAGGAAGCAATACAAAAAAGAGCAGGATATGTTTTAACACAAGTACATGTTACAGCAGGCTCATATCATGAATATGAAATGCTGGGTTTACATATTCTTTAAGAAGGACCCTCCCAAAAGTGATAATGTAGTTACAAGCAAGTGGAGTATAGTAGGCCAAGTCAGCCATTGACTTTAATATATTCTAGTGGTGAGGTCTTCTTTGCATAACTCCTGGCTTTGTTTCTGCTTACAATATTGTAACACCATACACATTTAATGTATCTATCTCCATCCAACAAAGAAAATGGGAAGCTCTCATGACCAAGGCAGGTGTGCTGCCCTAAAAATTCAAATACAGCTATATCATTCAGTCCCATAAAGATACACAAAACGGTCAGGTGATTTAACTTGTCAACATGTAACAGCACACAAAATTAAAAAAATGTGTTGTGGTTCTTGTTTAAAGAACCCTTTAAACCTACATTAAGAGAAGTATGGGGCATGCTTTTGCAAATGCTAGCTGCCTACTTGTTATGCTGACACACTGGCTTTAATAGTTTCTAAGTCACCACACCATGAAAAATATGCACATTAGGAAAGTGGGAGAAATGCATATAGAGACCTAAAGTGGCTCTAAAGGCTTCTTTCTTAAAAGCAGGACTACACTGCACCTGAGCAACACAAACAGAAAAAACACTATTTAATTAATTTTTAAATATACAAAGCAAACTCCCCATTAAAAAGGATAGGTTCACCTTTGGAACATATTATATGTTCCACCCGTTTTTGGGGTTGAACATGTAACATGTTCCCATAGCTGCAGCCGTGCCTGCCGCCCCCCCTCCAACATATAGTATGGGGAGACCCGTACTGTCACATTTGAAAAAACAGCGGGGCTTTGCCCACACGGCCACGTCATTCA